TTCTCCATATAACAACATCAATCTTCTCTCTGTCCTTTTTGGTCATTTTACAGATATAAGCAAAATTTGCCAAACACTAAAAAACAACTTATCAGCTTATTGCAGTTTGGTACCGCTGTAAGCTAATCCAAACACTTTTTACAAAACTYCAGTTTGATACCACATAAGTTAATAAGTACTTTTACAAAAAAACATAAGTTGTTTTAAATAAGCAATCCCAAACATCCCCTTAAGTTTTTTTTTTTTAAATAAAAAATAGCTAAATATTTAAGTTTTTCATGTATGATGTTTTTTTCTGAAAATTTTGCAACTATAATATTTTAAAAAATTAAAATAAAATATGTTTAGAATATAGATACACTTGAAAATTTATAGATATTTAGATTTCTATAAATATTTTTGGTAAAGATCCCTTAAAATAATAAATAATAAAAAGAGTTATGGGATTATAACGTACACTCGAATAATTTGATAGTTATTGGTGAATTTAATCCAAAATTGAATAATGTTTTTGACCACTTGCGACCCACAATCGATTCTTATAAAATTCGCCGGCTTGAAACTTGTACTCTCTTGACGAAGCAACAGGCGGCCAATTACAAGACACCATTGTTGTTTTTCTTCATCCCCTTCTCTCTTTCACTACACACACCCACACCCACACCCACACACACACACACACTCACTCAATCCAATTATTGTCCATCCCTACACTCAACTCTCTGTCCCCCAACTTGTTTCTGCGCACTTTCTTTCCAGATCTTGATACCCATTTGAGATAAACGATCGTTTGAATCAGGTACTGCCCTCATCTCTCATTCTTCGATTATCATCCAAGATTCTTTCGTGGTAATCCCAAATTCCAATTCCAATTCCAATTTCAATTTCAATGAATCAGGGGTCAATGAATGTGAATAGTCGTTTAAAGTTTTCGTCTTCTACCTTGGGTTTATGATATGATACATGTATGTGTGTGCAAAAAAACGTGTGCTGCGTGCCATTGACGGATTTTATCCCCAACAAGGTTTCGTGTTTATGAACGCATTTGGGAGTTGGATATGCTGGCGTTGACTTAGACGGGTAGGTTTGACTTCCATCTTTTTTAAATAAATTGATTTGGGTAATACCAGTTGTTTCTTTTTATTGGGTACCCATCTGCCGTTTTGATTCTGTGATCTCAATAACGACCTTCTTTTCTATTCATTTATTTACTATTTATTATTATTCTTGTTGGCTTTTTAAGTATACCTCTTAGTTCAAGGAGTTTAATCATGAATTTAATGTTCATAGTGATTGTAGGTTACAAGTTGAATTGATCAAAATAAGAGATGGGTGGATGAATCTTTGAGTTCTTGATTTATATTGGTTCTTTGGATTCTGGGATCATTGTGTTTGATTCTTGTTTCTGCATACATCAAGAATTACAATAATGGGCCTTTCAGATAACAAACTTTGGTCTTTATAAAATCTTTTTTCCTTCAAGTTGGGAGTAAAAGAAGTTTTTAATCCATTTTCATGTCTTTTGATGCAATTGATTCTAAAACTTAACCTCAATTCATAGAATTTCCAATTTAAAACACTTCTTGATGATTCTCTTTTCTTGCTTGCAGGTTCAGATTTTGAACCTTATGCTTGTATTGGAAAAGGGGCTATTCTATCGGATCGATATTTAAAATGTGTGATGCATAAGTTTAAATTAACGCAGTTGAGGCGTAGTGAATGGGCATGAAAGAGATGCATATCTTGCCTCCGGCTCGCCAACGCCCTCAATTAAAGAAGCCCACATGGATTATCATATTGGTTTCAATTCTTTGCATGTTCTTAGTTGTTGTTTATGTTCATCCACCTCAAGATTCTACTGCCTGCTATATCTTTTCTTCTTCTAGTTGTAAGACCATTTCCAGATGGCTTCCACCTCCTGCAAGAGAACTTAGTGATGAAGAGATTGCTTCTCATGTTGTAATTAAGAGTATATTGAACACTCCTCCATTTGAAACCAAAAATCCCAAGATTGCTTTCATGTTCTTGAGCCCTGGATCATTGCCTGTTGAAAGATTGTGGGATAAATTTTTTCAGGTATGTGATGGCAATTGGCCCTTTTGTTCATTTGATTCTTATATTATCCCCATTTCTATGTACACATGTATCTTGATAATCTTTCGAAAACGAACATCCAAAACACCCCACCTCCTGAAACCGTTTGTTTTCTTTATTATTCCTTGGTGATGTTTTTACTCTATTGCTAATGCCCTCTTTACATATTATAGGGCCATGAAGGTAGATTTTCGATCCATATTCATGCATCCAAAGTTAAACCAGTCCACTCTAGTCGTTACTTTCAAAATCGGGAAATTCGCAGTGATAAGGTTTGTTCGTACGTTGTAGTATAGAGTTATATATTTGTTTATTTTTTTATGTATATATTATACAGTTATAGTTTGTGCAAAGTCTCCAATGGTTTAGAAATGAAGCAATATATCCGTTTACAAAAGGATTAACTATAAGGGACACGGTGCAAAGTCTCTTCATGCTACTTCTAATTTTGTTTTTTTCCCCTTTGAAGTGTGGGTTGGACATCTTTTGCACTTTTAAGTTCTTGGGGATGATATATCTTGTTGTTTGGATAATAATGCAGTCTAGGGTAGATGACAATTTTGCATACATCCCACCCTCTGACCGTTACTTCCGAGTGAGACACATTGAGTGTGATTGTTTGGTTACAATATGAGTATATCACGAGGATGTCTTTAGGCATTAGCTCGGTAAGGTGCCCTTCTTACTAGTAAGCATGCTAGTTAATCCAAACGAACCCAGTATATCAGGGTCTTGGGAGTAGGATGTACGTAGACCCTAGGAAGAGAGCTAGTTATAACGCAGAAAAACCTATTTGACATTTAAAGTTGCTATTTGAATCATTGAATGTAATGTTGCCGCACTCTCTGCGGTATATGACAGATCTGCGTACATCCCACTCCCCATATACTGCTTCCGAGTGTGACATATATTGAATGTGTTTGGTTCGGTTTATTTGAATGTAACGTGGGATTGAGTGGGCTACTCTTGACTTTTGTTTTGTTGCAATATATAGAATAAGAATTACTCCTTTATATCACTTTATGCAAGCTAGTGGTCTTCACGGACACAGTCTATTCTGTGGGGTAGATCCCACGCCAGACCCACCTTGGTTTTGGCTTGTATTCTAACATCAGTCGTTATTGGTTGATCTTTTGTGCAGGTAGATTGGGGTAAAATTTCAATGGTTGATGCTGAGAAACGACTTTTGGCAAATGCACTGAAAGACCCGAGCAATCAGCATTTTGTGTTACTTTCCGATAGGTCTGCATCTCTCTGTACATGTATCTCTATCTTTCCTGTTCTAATTAGTATCTGATTTTGCTATCAAATTCTCCTTTTCAGCTGTGTACCATTGCGGGATTTCGACTATGTTTACAACTATCTGATGTACGCAAATGTCAGCTTCATTGACAGGTTTGTACAAAGATCTTGAATTTACTATTTCCCTGTTCCAAAATCAAACGAAAACTTCAAAAAGCAATGTGCTTCAACCCTTTTTCTTGAGGAAAATTGCTACCCGCATTCGTCTTGATTACGGGTATGGGGTACCATGAATATTGTTCTGTTTTCGTGCATGTTGGCAAGAAAATCCATATCAACTCATGCATTAGGAAAGTAGGGTAGGTTTAAATGAGAATTTGAGAACTTGAGAACCAACTAGTCATGCTTTATTCATGAAGAACGTTGTGATTGATATTCATGGAGAACCAACTGTTTCGGGTTAATAATTACCTCCTTGTTACTTATTTTTCCAGTTTTGAGGATCCTGGGCCACACGGAAGCGGCAGGTACTCGGACCTCATGTTACCTGAAGTCGAAAAGAAATTCTTTAGGAAGGGCGCTCAGGTTTCCAACTTTGCTTCCTTTTTGTAGCCCGTACATCAAGCTTCGTACATGTCCTTTTAAGTCATTTTATATTTGTCATCTAGCTTATCAAATAGTTTTACCAAACATGACCGGACTATCAGCTAACAACTAGCTTATTAGCCAACACCCAACTTATCAACTAGTATGCCAAACATAGCCTTGATGATGGCGAACTATTTTGGATGTGCTGTTATCTTACGATCTCATATGTTGAATTTTTATGCAGTGGTTCACGCTGAAGCGTCAACATGCCATCATCGTTATGGCTGATCGTCTCTACTATACGAAATTCAGAGATTATTGTAGGGTGAGGATTTCGTTATGGTTGATCTTTCAAGTTCAAGATTTTTATGATTCTAAAATGTCGTCTTCTTGAACTGCAGCCTGGTATGGATGGGCGCAATTGCTATGCCGACGAACATTATTTGCCAACCTTCTTTCACGTGAGAGAATTTGGTCTTTTTTTATCGTCTCCCGTTTCTTATAGTCTCTCCTTCATAGAAAGAGTCGGCCTTTGGTTTGCAGATTTAAACTTACGACTTCTGCGCCATGTTTGGCAACCATAAGCTAGCTTATTTGTTGAGCTTATTGAAAGCCTCGTTTAATAAGCCGTAAACTAGCTTATAAGCTACTTAAACTATCGTTGCAATAAGGTCCCGATGCCCTTTTCACCTTTTTCCTATTTTGCCCCTTATATTTTAAATAAATAACTAAAAACCATAGCCTTTTAGGTCATTATACATTGTCATCTAGTGTATCCACAAGTTCTTACCAAACATGACTAGCTTATCAGCTAGTTTCGCCAACATAGCCCTAGACTCGAGTTTGACAAAGATCAGGTGTTGACTCTTTTTCTAGGACGGAGATGATACTTGTCAACAACTAGTACTAGATATCTTTGAACTTGATGAATTCTACGATTTGAACATTTAGATGTTTGATCCTACTGGGATAGCAAACTGGTCGGTCACGCATGTTGATTGGTCAGAACGAAAATGGCATCCGAAATCCTACGTGCAGAAGGACATCTCTTACCAGCTGATCAGAAATCTATCGGTATTTCCACCCTCATCCCAGAAATTGTTCATTTCTCACTAAATTTGTAATAGATTTTTGGTAGGAACACCAGAATCCTAAAAGGCAAGTGTCCATTTCTAAATCCTTGTGGTTGTGTGATTCTTGCAGTCCATCAAAGAAAGTGTTCATGAAACAAGCGACGCGAAGGTGTGTTTCTGCTAAATTCTTCGCCTTTTTCTTTCTTTCTTTCTTTCTTTCTTTTCCTCAGGGTTTGGATCGTTACTGAATCCGAAAGATTTGTTGCAGAGGGAAACGACAGTTATACCTTGTATGTGGAACGGTAGGAACCGGCCGTGCTACTTATTTGCAAGAAAATTCTTGCCCGAGACTTTAGACATGATGATCGACCTTTTCTCCAATTACACGGCAGTTTGATCGATTCTTTGGTTGGGATCAAACCGACCGGATTGTTGTAAAGCCATCTCACTCTCTTCAAACTTGGCTCCTTTTTTAAAGTTGTTGAGCAACTAACAGTTGGGGCAAGTTTGAGTTGATGGTGAGGAAGAAAGGATTTCAGATTTCTGTTTTATGTTAATTTGTATCCTCTTCATTTTGGTGTTAAATTTTGGGGGAATCTTAATGTAGAACCTATGGCTCACTTTTTGTAGGTTGAAACAATTAATGAGTATAATTCCAAGTACAGTGATTTTTTTCTGGAAAGGTCCAAGTACAGTGATTTTACGTCATCAAATGTTACAAGATCAGACCAGTGGTTGGATATTGGTCAAGATGAGTAAAAGAATAAGAAATTTTAGAACTTAGTTACATTAAATGGAAAATATTGTATTTTGTTACACGGGTTGGGTTCTGTGAGAATGGAAGTTATTGTGAGAAGGGTCCATCCTTGGATCAATCCTAATTGAATATTAACACTAATGAGGTGCAACAGATCAATTTCCATGAGAAGTACAATTCATGAAACAAGGGTGAGATTAAAAGTGATCACGGGTCAAATTCCCTTCTCACACTTCTCAACCTTAATTCCTATTCACACGATACTTTGTCTTTGTTACATTGATTAAGAAAAATAGATAATTGTTATACTAAATAAGAACTAAGGAAAACTTCGTCGTATTTTAACGTATTTTGCCCCAAAAAGATCGGGAACGGCTAGGCAGCCGCTAAAAACCATAACATGGACTGATCCGGTCTCATCTAGGCTGATGATCCCACTTAGGTTGTATACTTTCAAAATGCACATCTAAACACCCTTTTAAAGTTCAAACGAAATCGACAAATAAAAAACACATAATCGAAATAAATGAGTAACATAACAACTTGTATTAGTCTCAATAGATCTCGAAGAACTTTCTTTTGCATAAAGCAGAAATTTCAGTACTCAACGACATTCGATACTCAATAAAACAAGATACTCGCATAAAAGATGAATTAGACACCTCCGGAATATGAAATCGAGGACATATATCCAAATGTTATTATATATAGATACAAAGATGCATGGATTTCGTTGTGCTTGAAGTTACCGATGACCCATCTCCACCTTGGGAGTTTAGCATCGTCACCATTGGCCTCTATAGCAATTATTGACTAAAAAGACTTGGAAACTTACGGTTTTACAAATTCAATGTTCGTTGCAAGTTTCCATCCGTGAATATGATCTTGCGAAGCCCACAACTTACATCGAAGATTCCAAATTTCCGATCCCATCATTCTTGGTGCCTCCATAGTATATTGACCCTAGATCGAGTTTTGATGGCACTGACAACCAAATCATCTCCCTGAAATGCCATATTCTATGTTAAATGTTGAGAGCGATATTGAAAACTAGATTCTGTATTGCTTTTCTTGTAGTTCTAATAATCAATCCATTTTGATATCATGATCTAATACGTGAATTGAAAACTTGAAACCGTAAATAAGAAGATGAAACCAAAGGGCCTTTGGCCTAGTGGTATCGTAGCCCTTGGCCTTCTAGGAGGTCAGGGGTTCAAACCTCACCATAGGTGAGGAGGGTGTGTGAGTTTATYTGTTGCATTTGCCGTATATAAATATTATATACTTCAAAAAAAGAAAGAAAAAAAGATGAAATTTCAAAAAAATTATCGTTTTAATTAATCAAATTTCATTTCAGTGTAAGCTAAGCAGATTACGACATATGAAGTGTGTTGTAGAAGACTACATATTGAGGATTATATGTACCTGTAAAAGTTGGTAGACTGGAATGACGGTAAGGTCCCATTCCAACAGCTTTGTATGGGCCGAGTCTTGAAAATCAGTCTTTACATGGAGGGGGTAAAATAGTCTATTCACCATTTGGAGCGTATGCTGAAGCAAAAGCAACTCCGTTGAATCATAGACTCCATGCACTATGAATCTGAAACAAAGCTGATAATAAGTTGACAGAAATACATCACGAATATATTGAAACCCTTGTGTTCTTTACACATTACGTTAATATTGATCCAACTTGAGTTATAGAAAGTGCAAGACTTCATACATCCATAAGTGACAAAACCACTAAACTAAGGGGGCTGTGGCTGTTTACCAAATGCTTAAAGGCATAGGGAAAGGTATGGAACCATTAAACTAAGAGGTCGTTTACCAAACGCTTATACGGTACCAGATGAACATGGCAAGGACCGAGAGTCTTACCCGGTAAGTGACGATGATGAATCTTACCTGGTTAGCTTACTAGATAGATTGTTGCATAGGATGCCGTTTTAATGGATTAAAATCTTACGCAGTAAGGTAAGTGAGAGAGTTGACTCTTACAGGTAAGCACTTACCAGGTAAGTGTTTGGGTAACAACCCCTAACCTAGAGGTTCACTAAGCCATTGCTAAATGTAGATGCTAGTTTTACCAAGGTTCTAAATGACGTGAAACGTGGCGGCGAGGTCAAATCTCGAGCCTTACACGCCACGAGTCATGACATAAGGCGGCAGATGTATATTCCATATAGATACACACACATATATACATATATATATATATATATATATATATATGTTTTCTATTTATTATTCAATGAGATTGAGAAATGATATTAAAAGAAGACAAATCATATATTAATATCATATAAAGAGTTTGGGATCAAAGATTCAAAATAGAACTTGGAAGGTTTTACAGTTTTAATTGTGAGTCCATGATGTGTGTGTGCATGTGTGCGAAACGCTGAACCTGTGAGTGAGGTGATTAATTAAATATGTAGAAGTGCAAAAACTAATGTTACAAATATAAAAACACAAAAGCTAAAAAAATTAAAAACTTTAAATTTCTTAAAAAAATTGAAAATAGTTGCGTCTTGTAAAGAACGCACGCAGCAGCACGCCATGGTGCGAGCCAGGCCATACACAAATGCAATGGGCCTTATCGTGGCGGTGGAGACACGTATTACACCATGGCACACCTTTTAGAACCCTCGCTTTTACACAATTAACCTTCATCCTCTAGTTCATGGGTCGCATCTCAATTATCCCGACATCAAGAAAATGTTGAAATGTTAAATGGCCTAAACGAATAGCATCTCAGTGAAATCGCAAAAAAACCCATGCAAGATAGCAGTGTTTAAAATTGCCTAAACGAGAAGCAGGATATATAAACTATAAGTATTTTTATAGTATGTAAAAGGTATGATGCTTATAGTGTTGATGCTGTTATTATTTGATACAATAACCTTTCTAAATGACGATTTCCATTTTTCTATCACAGCAAATACCTAAAAGATACCAAAGGGTCTTTGGCCTAGCGGTATCGTAGCCCTTGGCCTCCTAGGAGGTCAGGGGTTCAAACCTCATCATAGGTGAGGAGGGTGTGTGAGTTTATTTGTTGCATTTGCCGTATATAAATATTATATACTTCAAAAAAAAAAAAACCTAAAAGAGGATCAGAGAGGTTCCATCCACATTAAGAGAAGTCGATTTATGAGAACATGTTTAGATAAGTCGAATAATCCCTGTTTGATCCTCTGAAATGCTTAATTCAACAATTAGTTATCAATCCATACAATAAGAATCATTCACCTCCTAGGTGTAATCAAGCAGGTCTAACTAATCAAAGCAGTAGGGCGATGCTTAACAGTAGGTGTAGAGGCGGACCTAGAATTTTTTTCAAGTTATGGATATTTTTTACAACATTATCATTGGTTTGTTGGTTAGTTCCTTGCTTTTTGTATGTGGGGTCCTGATTTTGAATCTTTTATCCCAAATTTGTTCAGAATCATGATAAACCTAAAATTAAAAGCTAAAAGTTAAGAAAATGATACAGACGGGATTCGAACCCACGCCGGCTGGAAGGGGAGAAAAGACCATGCAAACCAACTCTACCAAGAGAAACTTGTGTTATTATTGTAATTTCAAAAAAATATACGGTTCCACCCCACAAGATAATACTTACAAAATTTTACATCACCAAGGAGGAACGAACCGTATCAGTTGCCACCCTGACTAGGTGGCTGCTTAAGTGATGGCAATAAGCTATGCAAGGCCCTCAAAGAATCTCAAATGCAAAGATGAGAAGCGGAAAGAAAGAAGAAGAATAGAAAAACAAGCAGCAATTCAATCTCATCATCAGCCTTAGCGCATATATGTGCCTATATAAACAACAAGCTATATGCATTCATAAGTGTTGATCATTTTCTACAAATGTCATTCATGTGGAACAGAAGCATATATTAAGACAAGCGTAAACATACCTGCAGGTACCACAGACATGAAGGAAATGATATTTGTGGGTCAATCATCCTCCATCAAAACCAGCAAGCAACTTTGCAATTCTATTCGCCTTCTTTAGCTCCCCTTTTGAACAGAGTGAAGCAAGTAGGTCATAATAAGCCTCAAAATCATCATGTACCACATCATCTTCATGACCTAAAATCAGTGGCTCAAATACAGCAACCCGAAACTCCCCATTGTCAACCTTCTTTCCAAGAGGAAAAAACATATGTACAATTTCATCAAGAATCATAACGGCTTCTTGAATACTTCCCTGATCACATAAAGAAACAAGAAAATGGTCCACAGACTCTGTTTCAGCCCCTGTATCAACCTTCTTTAGCAATTTGACAATGGTTTCAGTTTGAAGCATATCCCTTAAAATGCTTCTAGATTCTTCCATTCTTCCCTTAGAACACAACCCTCTTATCAAATAAAAGAACCCCAATAAATCTGGCAATAATCCCTTCATTCTAGAATCAAAATAGTAATCAAGAGCCCCTTCCATATTACCATTTCGACAAAAACACTTGATTACAGTGCTAGCTGTAAATTCATCAGCTTTGACGCCTTTTTCATCCAAATCAGCAACAAGCTTCAATACTTCTGGCAACCTGCCAAGCTTACTATACCCATTGATTAATGAGTTGTGAACACGAATATTTGGCTTCAAACCCTGCATAATCATTCTTTCTAGAAGTTTCTCAGCATCAAGCAAATAGCCTTCTTTGCACAAAGCGTCAATAAGTGTAGCATATGTGATCTCCGAAGGAATCACATCAATCTTTTCTAATGAATCAAATAGCCTAAATGCTTTCACAAAACATCCTTGGTGGCACAAGCCATAAATGACTGAATTATAAGTGATGGTGTTGAGGGTAATTCCGTAATTCTTGGCTAAAGTGCATACATCCAAAGCTTTTCCGATATGTCCCTCTTTGCAAAGGCCATCTACAACAATGGTGTAATCAACAACATCCATGAAGGGTAATCTTTCTTTTGCTCCCATCAAAAGTTTAAAAGCATCCTCAGCCCTGCCGTTCTTTATTAGAGTCTTAAGAATGGAGACTGGAAAAGTAAGACTTTGTGTTTTAGAATTTCTTGATTTGAGAAATTTGACGGCGAGGCTTACATCTTTCATACACAAGTAATGCAGAATGATCTTGCTTACTCTAGGCTCAAAGATTCCAATTTCTTTCACAAAGTCACTTAAACAAATCTCGGGAAAACGCATTTTCGGATCCTTAAGAAGCAATTCCACGAGTGAATAATAAGAAATTGTGGTCAAAACAAATCCATTCCTTCTCATGAATGTGTATAAGTCACTAGCATATTCAGAAAAGCCTCCATCACACAAGAAACAAAGAGCATTGTTGCATAGCGTATGAAAAACTTCAGGCTCCAATTTCTCGATTTTTTGAATAAAATTCAAAATCCCATCCGGGCCTGTCGCTCTTAATATTGACTGTAATAAATTTCGATAAATACCTAGATCTAGAGGCATACCTCTTCCATGAAGCTCTATAAAAACTTGAATGGCCATATCAATCATGTTCTGCTTGCAGAGGCCATTGATGATGCAATTGTAACTTTCTACTGAAGTCAGTGATGTCCTTCTAAGCTCATCAAATATTTCAAGTGCCTCCTCAATTCGACCACATTTACAGTACCCATCAATCAAAGTATAATAAGTAGCATGATTTGCAGTCAAACCCATCTCTACCATTCCTTTGTAGATGACATATGCATCTTCGAATGACCCTACCAAAAATAGTGCTTTGATAAGTACGTTGCACATAACAACATCCATAGAAACTCCAGCTTCTTCTAGTCTCCTTTTTGTCATCAACAACCCCATGGAATCTTTTTCTCTGATATACCCATGTAAAAGTGTGCTATAAGTAACAACATCTCCACGAATACCTATTGAAATCTCGTATGCCTCAGCTGTCCTCCCGGATTTACACAACCCGTTGATTATCGTGTTATATGTAACAACACTTGGATGAACACCATGTTCCTTCATTTCGTCAAGCAAACGAAAGACACCATCAAAATCACGAATCCTACAGAAACCATCAATTAAGGTAGCATACACAAACTCATCCACTTCCATTCCCAAATCCTCTACCATCCTGAAGATTGTAAGAGCTTCCTCTAACTTACCTTTCTTGCAAAATCCCAACATGACGGACGTATAAGTAATCAAATTTGGCTTAATTCCTTCCTTTCTCATTCTATGTAGAAACCCCACCGCCTTCTCCACAAGTCCTTCCTTAGAAAACCCATCTATAAGTATTGTATAACTAATAGTATCTGGTTCTATCTTCCTCTCAACCATCTCTTTATGCTTTTCAAAAGCCTCCATTATAATTCCTACCCTAAAATACTCATAAACAATACTACCATAAAACACAACATCAAATGTTAATCCATCCTTCTCAATCCTACTAACTAAATCAGAAACCTCTTCAAATCTTTCCAATCTACAATAAGCACTCAAAAGACATGTATATGTGACAATATTCATCTGTAAAGCAGCAGATTTTGCAGCATTTTCATAAAACCCTACAGCAAGCTCAGGCTTCCCAATATTAACAAACCCAGAAATAACAGAACTAAACACAAAATTATCAAAAGGGTATTTAAATTTCTCATCAGCCATCACTTCCAAAACTTCAATTGCTCTGTCCATCTTACCTTGCCGACTAAAAGAACTAATTAATGCACAAAACGTAAAAGAAGACGGAAAAATACCATCAATGTTCAAGTAATCTTGCAAAACCAAAAACCCCCTTTCTGGGTCTTGCGCATTGACACATAATCCTTGGATTAACGCATCCAAAATCCGATTTTGTAGAATGTTTGGGGTTTTTCCTATCTGGGTATTGATAAATTCAACTGCCCTTTCATAATTGTGTTGTTTGAGAAGAGCCCTTGTGAAGACTGAGTGTGTGATGCAATCTCCTTCGATTTGGTTCGAGTGCAATTGAGATATGAAGTCTGTAATGAACCGAATTTTTTTGGTTTTAAAGAGTTGAACAAGGAAATTGTTATAGTTTCTGAGAGTTGGATTGAAACCAGCTTTCAAAAGGTTTGCGACAGATAGAGATGATAGATGGTTGCGACGAGAAGAAGAAGAAGATATGAGAGTAGAGAATCGTTTGGATTTGGGAAGCTTAGAGAGAATCATTTGTTGGGGAACCGCTGTTTTCAAGGATGGTTTGATGTCTTCTCATATGAGCATTCTTCGATCTTCATCAAAGTTATACATTTTTAAATCAAACGCTGTTTTTTTCCCAGTAAAACACTAACTTGTACTCGGGCTTTTGATACCTTATACAAAGATAATATCATTTGATACAAAATAAGAAGTGTATAGAATGTCATCCGGTCTAATTTAAACCGACTGATTCAGAACCGATCGATTATAATTAAATAGATTATAATTGGATATTTAATTATAATCGGATCCAAAATTTCAACATCCAAATCGGATTCTTGGATGACAGTCCAGCATCCAATAAAACCGAACCGATTCAATCCAATGACCATCCAATTATCCTCCAATTAATATCTAACTAATAACTATATATAATTATTAACATTTTACAATATTTTTTTAGTTGGTATTTATGTACATTGTTTTTTAATAACTTAAGAAAATATATGAATAAGTGGTTGAAATGGTGGATTAATTGGTTGAGTATTGGATCAAAAGATTGGACAAATCCAATCCAATGGATAACCGATAGTAATATCCAGTGGATGGATCCGATCCAATCATCCATTGGATTTGGATTGGATCGGATTGGATCACATGTCCAATGTTAATCGGATCGGATTGGATGACAAAATTCAACATCCAATAGATAATTGGATCGAATCGTATCGGGTCTACCTAAATCCATTGGATTTCAACCGATGAACACCCCTAATAAGGAGCATATGTTGGTCCCTTGAAGGTCTACAAGATATGTATAACAGTTTGTAGAAGGAGGGGATGAATACAAACACAGTATTTTCAATTTTAAGATGCATATTGATAGGAGAAGATCAATACAAATTTTACAAAACTGTTTGCGGAAAGATAAAGTAAGAAAACATATCTAAACAATCTTTGGTTACACACAGAATCTTAGCAAATAAGAAAAGATATGTTGTAGAGAAAATTTCTTTTACTTAAGCTTCAAGAATGCTCAAAGTAAGAATTAGGTTAAGATAGTGTGTTGCGCGCGCACTCTGCATGGAGAAGAAACACTTCTATTTATACTCATTGCATTAATTGCTTATTTAATGCAATATGGTAGGGTTAGAGTGCGTGTCAAGCCTTAAGAGGAAGGTTTGTCCTTTGCTACAGTGAATAGTACAAAAAGTCTATTCATGAGCAGACATCTTTACCTAAAGTTGGTGGGTAATAGAGTCAACTAGTCGGCTCCGTACCTTACTAACATTTAGAAAGGGTATGGGTTTGTTCTTTGTGTGTATAAGGACAAAACAACAACAATCGTGCTTGGCAAGCTTCTTTTGATCCCTAAATGCTGGAATAACCTGGAGGTCTCTGTAGCATTCGCTGAGGCTTGAGCAGTCTTCACACATACGTAGACATGCTTGTAATCACTGAGTACCGCTTCAGATCACATACTCGCCAATCTCTAATCTTCAGTTTCAGTCTTCGACTTTGGCTGAAGGTTCTTTGGTGTGAGTGTTGTCTTCTTGAAGTATTGTTGTCTCTGATTGAATTACAATACAAGTTCTTCAGCGATCATTGAACAGGTTCAGTGAAGATCGCTGGAACTGAAAAGACAGAAACATAAATACATCGTATAAGTAAAAAGGGATTATCATCAAATCACTGAGAGAGAGGATCAACAATCTCCCCCTATTTGATGATAACAAGACAACATAAAGAAAGTTGTCTTATCAAATAACAGTAAGGAAATAGAAAGTACATGTCCCTTTTTACTATTTTGGGATCTTTTTTAGTGAGTCAGTCTTTGCTTGGGAATTTTCCTTAAGTCATATTTAAGAGAAAATTACAAGGATGAAAACTGAAACTGAAAGCTTATTCACTGACTTATAGATTGTCAGTGAATGTAAAAAGTAACTCTGGAACTCATATACTTGTGTCCCTATTACTTTTTTTCAGGGATCTTTTTCAGTGAAGTACAAGAAATACTCATTTATTATCATCGGTAATATTACAAGTAGTTTAGTACATGTCTAATACTTACAGACTAGAAGATTAATCACTGAAAGTAGACATGGTGAAATAGATTTACAAGGAAAAGTGAACAAAAATTACAAAGAGAAACTAATCTAGAACACTTAGATCTATGCAACTAGGTACATCTTCACCAAGGTTCTTCCGATGTAAGCATTCTCTTCGTATCTTCAGGTCTACGACTTTTCCAGGCATGCTATCATCTATCCAGAGTAAGAGGTAAACCAAATGACCGATTGGACATAGATGTAGCTCTTACATTTTCTGAAATCTGACTTCACCTTCATAGTCAAGGAATATAACTCCTAACTCAGGTTTGAAATGCACAGAGTTGGGTATATAAGGACCATTGTCTGGCAAGTCGAGATTCAACATAGAAATGTCTATACTCTCATGTTCCTTCAGGATTTTATCTAAGGAGAACCTTGTTTCATATTCGTTCCTTAGGAATGGTCCATCATTAGGATTAAAGAGCTTCTTCTTCTTCTTCTCACCTTTCTTCAAAGAAGGCTTGTCAAGGACTGCAACATACCTGGACATCCGTTTGATGAGATCGTTGATGATGTCTTCGATAATCGGCTTATGTCTTGACTTGGATCGCTGAATGGCTTGCCTGATCTCCAGCCATTCGTTGTATCCATAGCGGCTRAGGTAGGAAGGGTACTCGGTGATGGCATCGAGATTGTCCCTGGTGATGAGCATTGAGACCAGTGTTCCACCATCTTTTGAACATCCGGTGATGCTGAAGCTGATGATCGAGCGGGGACTGACTCTCTTCTTCAGCTTTCCTTCGCTCCAACGCTTGTCCTTTTCAACCAGCTTCAAGTTCTTCTCATGCTTAACTTCTGCAATGGAAAGAAGTTTAGCCTGGCTTGGACAGCGTTCACCTTCTTCTTGGACTTTCTCTTGGGGAGAATCTTCTCAGCTAGTGACTTCACCAGTTTTAAGTTGTCTTCAGTCTGCTTCATCTGAAGCTCTAGCTCTTCTTCAGCCCTTAATGCCTCGAGTCTTTCAGCTTTAGAAAGGAAGTTAAACTCACCACCACTAGAGGTAGGAAGAGGGATTTTTAGTCTAGTCTGGTCGAGTGACTCCTTTAGCTGAGCCATCTGCTGGTCGGTGGGAGCACTAGAGACAGGGTTTTCAGGGACCCACTTTAGTCGACCGCAGGTAGTTGATGGAATTTGAAGTTAATAAAGTGAAGTGACTACTACCTGAGAGGTAGAGTCTTCAAATAAGGGTTGAGGGATATTGAACAATACCTTCAAATTCCCTTCTTCAGCAACCGCTTTGCCTTTCGACTTGTGGCCCTGGTTCATTGATGGAGCGGACTCTTCTTCCCTTTGCTCCCCCTGGGATGCAGAATCCCTGAGGGTGACTCCCTTGGTGGCGGTTGTTGGCTTTTGATACTTGATGGTGAAGTCATCTTCATCATCGTCGTCATTATCACCATCTAGGTCACTTCCGGGGTCTGGGATAACAGGTTCGTCATCTTCATTGTCTTCGTCCTCATCATCATCATCATCATCACTAGCTGCAGAGGTGATGGGAAGATTATCATCCCTTAGGATGGCATCAACCACCTCAGCTGAAATAGCTTCGGTGGTCGGGATTACAGGAGCAGCAACAGCTTCAGCTCTAAGAGCTTTAGCTTCAGCTGCAGGGAATGCTAGAGCAGCATCAGCAGCATCAGATGGTCCAGCAACGTTGGACCTCATCTCCCCTCTATGGCTAAGCCTTGAGAGTATAAGCCAGAGAGTTCGTCCACGCGCTGATGCTGGAGAACCATCATTTCCACTAGCCTTGACAGAGCACTGGCTAGAGTTGTCGTTGCTTCACGCGTCTCATTGAGCTTAGCGCGATCACCACCAGAGAAGGAAGGCGGGATCACTGGAGCTGGTTGACGGACAACATCCAGGATCTGCTGAAGAAGTTCCGTCTACTGAAGGGAGAGAGCCTGAGTATCATCAGCCCTATTGTAGAGAACAACAATGGATTCAGTGTTGGCTCGAACAGCTTCCTAGAGAGTCAAAAGATGACTCTGTACTTCTTGAACATCTGCTTTGAGAGCTGAGAGGTCCGCTTCAAGTTCAGCCTTACGGGGCATCTCTTAGTGAACTTCAGCCATCTTGCAGTAAACGGAATCGACGACTGGGAGAAGGAGTTTGACATCTGACGCCATGTCATAATCCTCGTCTTCTTCATCAATAGTGTCATCCTCCCCATCTTCTTCCTTCTCTTCCTCGTCATCTTCTTCCTCTTCTTCAGCCACAGACTGGGGCATAGAAGGACCTGCAAGAGATGAAGGGTGAGCAAAACAAGAGGCTCAGGGTTAGAAGAAATGAAAGGGTAGGAAGATGRAATACTTGAGGGGCCATCAATGACATCCAAAGGATTGTCACTGGCGTAAGCAAAGATATCCTCAAGAGGATGGACATTTGTATGCTGAGGAGCATTGAGAGGAGCAACCTCAGGTCCAGTGGTGTGTGTTTCAGTATCAGGGAGGACAGTCGCTGATACCTCATCAACACGTGTGAAGACCAAGGAAGGAGGAGAAGAGAAAATGGTTGAGAAGAGATGTGGGTGTTCAGTGGTGGCGGCGCTAATATCCACACCTTCAGTGATTTGGGTCACTGAGGCAGTTGGGGTAGATGCCACTGATACGACAGTGATGGGAGGAATCACTGAAGAGCTAGGAGGGTTAGCTAAAAGTGCCTCAAGGTTAAGGCTGGTTTCAATAGCTGAAACATGTCGAGAGGTTTCAGCCAGAGATGTGGCTATCCCCTTTTTGGCCTTCTTGGCTCTCTGAGGAGAATCAAGAGTTGGTTGAGAAGGTCGTTTGGAGGAGGTTTTGGTGGCTGGGCTAGACGCAGGGGGGGTTTACCCTTGTCCTAGCCACCTGAGGAGAGGAGGTAGTGAGAGACACTATAGAAGAGAGTGTCACATCACTGTCCCTCAGCTTATGATCCAGA